CACTTGCTTAAGTGTGCCAGGTATGACACGCGTTGTTTTTCCCTTGTCTCTCGTTCACTCTATTCGACCTGTGAGTATCGGATTCTCCAGGCCCTCCTTCCTCATTATGTGTCCCCGAAACTTCAGAGGACTTAAGAAATAAAATCAAGGCTAGCCCCGTTCACGCCAACCAGGCTCGACCCAGTTATCAATCTTTCTAATAGTTCTAATCTTCATCCTGAGCTGATGCTCAAGGGATCTGACCACACCCTGATAGAAATAGCGATCACATCGCAAGATTTCCCCCATCCGCGTCGTCCAAATCACCATTCTAGCCGTGGCCAGCAGCGTCAGAAACATCACCCGTTTCAACCCCTCAGAATACGGGGACGGTGAGTTTTTCGGGAGTGATACGAGCCGTCAACTTCCCTCTGACCCGCGGCAGTTGAACGTCGCTGGGCAACACGTCCCTATTCCAAATGCCCACCGAGATGAAGAAGACAGCAAAGTCTGTCGACTAGGGATGAAAGCACTGCTATGAAACTGAATCAACCCAACGAAACGCCTGTACGAAATGCTGTGGACCCCGAACACTTGCGAAAGAAAAGGAATCCAGGAAAATTGCCGGCCGACCAAAATATTGTTTTAGCATAAGAACTCTCGCTTCGGCGAATCAGAACTTTGTGTGAAAATATCAACTCGACTGAAAGATAAGTTGATTCTCTTGGTTTGATCTGTTTTTATATATGTATGTATTCGCTCGCGCCTTCTATTCTTTAATGGTCCCCTTCCCCTTTGTTAAATGAATGTTCTTTTTTTTTCTTTCTTTATTTCTTTATATATATTTATAAATAAATGTTTTATTTTGAAATCCATCGTCTTGTGTCTGTTCTTCGTTGACTCTCTTGTGTCGCTTCCATTTCTGAGTGAAGACCGAGAAAAGATCCCACAGGACAATGGTAGAATGCGTGCGAAGCCGTTTTCTCTAAGCCGAGGTCACACCCATGACAGTTAGACAAATCCGCCAAGCCCCATTTGAAGGCTACGTCATTTAAATGTAGTGTGGCGGCCTTTTACCACATTTATTTAAGTTTGTTTCATTTTATTTAGGAACCCAAATTGATGTAAAAGAAAGGGACATAGGTATCAATATATATAAAATTGTATTCAACAGAAACATACAATAAAGAATGTATACGAAAAAAGCATTGCAAAAGAGTAAGACGAGAGTTGCCTCTCTTTGGCTATAAAAGTCTATGAAAGATCTTTGAAAGAAAAATGAAAAGAAAATGAAGAGTTTACTCTGTTATAAAATGTTTTAAACAATTTCTGCCATAAGAGGAATATTATGTAAGTGTGATAGAATATGCAGCTTGATAGTTGAGTGCAGAAGATGGACGCATAGCTTCCACTGTCGTGATTTCTGTGGCAGTTGAATTCTAGTGCGGCTCCTAGTTTCTTATGCTTATATAGGTGGTCATTGAATCAGAGCTCCATGCGGGAAGAACCATTTCCACATGGAGGTAATCTGATTGGTCGATACTGACCAATCAGTGCATGATAGTTCAGGGCGACTTCTGGGAGCCGATTCTCCCAAAAGTGCACAAAATTTACTATATGAAAATATATAGCGATTTTAAAATTGTCGCTTCAGATAGCAGCGTTGCTTCCTGACCAATGAATGAATGCTGTTGGAGATTTGAATTTGTAAGGGTGTATGCGTGTGTGGTGATGATCGCCAATAAAAGACTATTCCGAACCAATCACCAGGTAGGCGAAAACTCAGGACTCTCGTTGCTTGTCTTGTAATGAAGAGAAAAAAAATGGCTGTACTGGTAATGAACGCGTCAAAGCGTATCCAACTGAAACTTGTTTAACATGATGGTGATCTTGTTCATCTTGAATTTTTCCATTAGTTGATTAAGTAACTAAAATGTATTATCTGTCTATATTTCTGAGATGAGGTATTATGTACATTATTTACATTATTCGGACTACTGTGCTCATCTTTGTCGCCATATTTATCACAACGTTTCGGCCGTTGTACGCTCCGGCCTTCTTCAGGTGGTTGGAATGTCGAACTGAAGCCTTTATTTCGCTCACTGGGGTAGACTGTCCTCATGGACACATGGCACAGTGGATAAAGGCGTTGGTTAGATCCAGTGACAGGACCCAAAGAGTGTGAGTCCAATACCCGGTTAGGGCAGTGGAGAACTTTCAGAGGGAAAATTAGCAGGAGATAACTGATAACTGACATCCATTAAACATGGCACGTGGAACTAGAACTGTCTATCCCAGTGAGCGAAATAAAGGGTTCAGTTCAACATTCCAACCACCTGAAGAAGGCCGGAGCGTACAACGGCCAAAATGTTGTAATAAATATGGCGACAAAGATGAGGACAATAGTCCGAATAATGTAAATAATGTATAAAATTAACTTATCAAACTGTTTAGTATAAATCTTATGGAACTCTCCTGTCATTCTGTTAATTCCACCGGCGCAGGAAGTTAGTAATTTGCATACGTAACTATCCTCATGCGTTTTAAGGATTGACAGATTGGTAGATACTGAATATCTTTTCAGAATGTGCACCTTAAGATGTTTGTCGAAATTACAGTCGTTTGTAATAAAATGTTCTGCAAGCTCCATCGATATCACATTGTTGCGTTTGATATCTGTGTCCATTAAATATTTTATTTAATAAATCAAGTCAAGTTTGGTACATTGGACGGCGTATATTAAATGGAAATCAAATACAATTGCCACCGTCTGTAGAAATCGCGATGTTTCTCTTTGAATTTATAATGAAATTAACGGGACTCATGTTGCTGCACAACGAATAAGGTTTTCCTTTTTGATGAGTACTTTCGGGAGTACAACGATCCGAAACTCCAATGTTCTTTTGAGTGTGGACGCTTATATTTGTTAAAATTTGTCTGATGTTTTTATTTCCTTTGAAAGATATTATAGGCGGGTTCGAATCTCAGCATGGTCGATTTGCCACTAAGGTAACTTCTTGATTTTATTGGTCTGGGCATCGACCCGGACCGAGAAACCTTTAAAGACAAAAAAAAAAAATACATGACAAACATTGATGATCTAGAATCGCTATATATATATATATATATATATGAGAGAGAGAGAGAGAGAGAGAGAGAGGGAGGGAGAGAGAGAGAGAGTAGATAAGTTGGTCAATAAAACAAAGTCAAACGAAAGGGTACCGATGAAATCAGTACGAAAAACATTTAATAATATTAACCAGGTGACAAAAATGAAGCACGGAGGTCGAGGGACCAAGTTTGGAATTTTCGAACACGCTTGTGTTCTTAATCAGCGGATGTGAGAAATAAACAGAGGGCCGGTTGAAACTATCTAACATTAGTTTTTTTTAGGTGGGTAGAATCCGTTTGTAGGTGGAATTATTCGAAAAAAATCCGCTTCCTGTTTGATTTCTCACTGTGCGAAACTTAATGTGAAAATAACCTCAGATTTAAAAACTGAGTTTGGTAGTGGGTGGTAGGACTGAGATGTTGAAAATAGTGTGTGTGGGGGGGAATGGTTATAAGACCAGGGGTGGGGGCGGTATTAATGTTGAAAGATTTTCTTTTTTGTGAGTAAGGATCTGTGTGGGGGACATAGCGAGATTGTCAGTAAAAGTAAAATGAAAGAGAAAAAGAAAAAAGAAAAGAGAGAGAGAGAGAGAGAGAGAGGAAAGAAATAGCACAAAAAAGGGGTAAAGAATTCTTTTAGGAAAATCATTGTTAGTCAATGGGGGGGGGAGGTTGAAATAAACTGAAAATAAATTTAAAATAATACCAATAAAGATAACGATAATATGAAAAGGGGAATTGAAAAAAAAAACATACAAAAATAAATGTGTTGTGTATCGAGATAGAATCAGATTGTAACAAGGCAATAAAATAAAACAAAATAAAAAGGGGAAAAATATATATATATATATATATATATATATATATATATATATAAAGGCTTAAACACTAATATTCCATGGTCATAATTTATTCCATTGAATTGTAACTACGATCCAATTAATCAGACCTACAAATTCAAAAAGAAAACAGAAAAAACAACTCCGGGAATAGAAAATAAAATTTAGTGAGTGTGGGACGAATGACGAATGTTAGAGTAAATGAAAGCTATGGGGAGAGAAGAACAGGAAGGTCTAAAATTGAAGTGCGGATTAAAATTTAACAGAGAGAAGTTCTAAAGAGGGGAGTCAAAAACGGTTTAAGTGAGAGAAATATGAATATTCTTGGATGTCTGATACATTAAAGATTTACCGTGGGGCGGGTAGAATGGAGATCAAGGTGTTTTAGTGGACTCAGTCTGCTTGTTTGAATCATCTTCAAGAAGCGAGAGCAAGATCTAAAAGGCCAGCCAATCTAACAGTGATCTCATCACCCTTGCTCCATATGTGGCCTCCTTTGTAAGTCACTAGCCGGCCACTTAAGATTATCACACAAAATTTCACAACTGAATCAATTAAGCTGTCAGATTCTCATACGTCGAAACCGACGGGAGAGTCCATTATATATATATATATATATATATATATATATATATATATATATATATATATATATATATATGTAAGAAGGAGTAAGAAGACGTGACACTTGGGGCACAAAAGCCGTTGGGTGACGTATACTTGGATGAGTATCACCACGGAATTTAGTGAGTAGCAGCGCTATATCGAGTCTCGTCAGTTACTTCTTCGTAACTGAGGCCCGTTGCTCCGGTGGTATGACGCCTGCGTTGTACCGTAGCAGTCCAGGTTCGATTCTCGGTAATGTTGATTTATCCCAAAGAGGACGAAACGGCCGTCGAATGCTTTCTGTCGTGGATTATTCTAGACTCGATGAATTACTATAAATTTTTAATCCAATATTGTTTTAATACTACAATGAAATAATGTATTGTAAATAAAATGTACATAAATTGCAGTAATTTATTTTTTTCCGCTGACTCTTTTTCTCTTTTTTTTTTTTTTTTTCAGATGATGGAGATCTGGCGGATTGTGTTCTTTGCTTTTTGGTTGATTTTAAATCTTTCTGGTAGGTTATCTCGGAAAATTAATTTTGCTGGTTGTTTAACTCGTTTTAACTTAACAATTCAAAGACGCATTGCATAGATCGAAGGTTGCGGATTCTCGGAGTCTCAGGTCATATTCCCCCCTCTTGTGATCACAGATTCTATCAGGTCCTCCCGATTTTCAATTGTTATCGAGTAATTTTTTTTCACCATTACACTTTAATAATGCTAATTAAAAAATTGTTTTGTTTTACGGCATATCAACCACAATGGGTTATTTAATGCCGACAAAATTTCCTTTTTCTTTTTTTTTCAAAAATGTATAGCTTGTAATATTTTTAAAAAAATGTATAGTTTAGTTTGTTTTGTTTTGTAGCATATTAACCTCAATGGGTTATTTAATGCTGACAAGAATTTTAATTTCTGGTAATATTTTCTTTTTGCAAATATTTATTGCTGATACTATTTTTTTTAAAAGTATTTCTGGTATTAAAATCTATTTTTACACTTTCATAGTGTTTTGAGTCAGATTGTAGGGTCAACTATTTGCCCATAGCTGGGACCCTAACAGGTGCTACCACCCCGGGTCAGGGTGGACCTGGGAACACCAGCAATTAAGAGGTGGTTCCACGCTCCTCAAAACCTCCTAATCAGAGGCCTTGCTGTTGGACGTAGTTTATCGTCTTACCCAGGACGCGGATGCAGTTTATCGTCATACCCAGGACGCTTAAAAAATTGTTTAATTTATATATGCAAAAACCTAGAAAACAAGTATTTCACTAATTATATATATAATAAGTAATTTATCGAGTCTAGCAGTCTAAAAAAAACTTTCTTCTAGATTCGGTGAATTACTTAATTATAATTATCTCAAATTCTTCTAATAAATTTCTATCACTTGTATATCCTTGCTTGAGCCGACTTCTAATGCTCTGAATGGAGCGGCTTGGGGATCATAGTCGTGGCTCGTGGGGGCACAATCCTATGGGTAAGGAAAACTTGGATGAGTTCCACCACGGAATATGTGATCGCGCGGCGCTATATCGAGTCTAATTCGTTACGGAGAGCGGTCTGGGTTTGGTGTTTATTTATGTCCAGAATTTTGTTCGTAGTTTAATATCAGTTCCTACTATGTGGTGTTTCTTGTAAAGGCCCCGAATGTGTCTTTCTGGAATTCACAGTAAATAGTTTTTGTACTGCTAAGCGATGGGGGATTTAAATTTAAATCCGTTAAGATTAATGTAAGTTAGTTGAGATATAGATTTATAGATCGTGGGTAATACTAGAGCACCCAATGACATAACTCATGCTGTCCAACACACTTATATGCGTACATATCTTCATACATTCATTTACGTGTACATTTACATGTTTATGTATATATGCCACTATACGTACACATACACCCTCACATATATGCACCTGTATTCTTATGTAATTTGGAAGGACTGACTTCGAAATAAATTTAGAACAATGCTCCGAGACAAGCACTTAGAGGCTGACGATAGCTGTGTGAAGAACGGTTTGATATACATTATACCTGTGTTGAAGTAATTTTTTTTGTAAAACATACATATGTTCTGTTAAAATATATATATACATATATATGTGTGTGTGAAAAGTGTATATAAATATAAATAAATATATATATGTATAATTATTTATATATTATATGCGCGGTACTTATTAGAAAGCGCTCAATACACCAATACACGCAATCTACATAAACCCAAATTTTTAAAACATTAATCAGTAATGTGAAAGCATGAAAAACCCAGGGTCACAAACTCACATCTATCCAACTAAATATATATATATATATATATATATATATATATATATATATATATATATATATATATATATATATATATATATATAGTCTTCTCCAAAAGTATTATGTTCAGTGACGACATTTGAGTTTAAGACCAAAAGATGTGTGGAATAATCCACGTTACCTTTTCATTATTATTATTATTATTATTATTATCATTATTATTTTTTTTTCCATGTCGACAATATAGTTAAATTCCCAGATGAATTTTGTGGACAAGACTGATTGGTATCAGATGTATTATTTTTTCCAATTGTCATTTGATACCAATCTACATTGTCAACATGGAAAAAAAAAATAATAATCCCTTACTAGAAAGGTAATTTACATTAACCAAAAAAAAAAAGGCTTAGACACAACCGTTTATCTTTTAAAATTTTGATTTTTAATGTACCTATAACAACAAAAACATTTCGATTTCATTTTTGCCATGAAAAATCGGAAGACGAAACGCATCGGCAAAATGTATTATTTTTTCCAATTGTCTTTTGATACTATATATATATATATATATATATATAAACAAATACATGTATTAAACAAAACAATTTTACAATGGACAATAACATTTGTATGTATGTAAACATTGGTGTCTGTTCTTAGATGAATGTTCGTACGTACGTGTATGTGTGTATAATGTTCATGGCGTCTCCCACAAATGGGAAGACGCGGATCTTACATTGTATTCGCTGAAATGAAGAAATGAAAAAGAGAACGAGGCGAGAAGTCGCCCAGTGACAATTTGGGAATTAAGGAGGAGCTAACTCCGACATATTCATTATTATTATTATTATTATTATTTTATATCTTAATAATAATAATGCCCATACAAGAACAAATTTAAAAGATTACATTACAAATGAACTCAAAAGAATTCCATTTTTTTAGTCATTTCACACAAAGCAAGGCGATGAAGTCACTAAGACTAAAATGTTTACTGAGAATGAAAGACAATAGAGCGACAGAAACAAGGAAAGGACAATAAAACGAGCAGAGTTTAATGAAGCAGAAGACGACTGTAGAATATTGGTTAGCTTACCAGTGGTCTAACACACAAGTAGGCAAGTGTAGCCAAAGCTAATAACTGACTTAAGTCATTTCATAGAGAAATATATGGGTGAATAAAGAGCACTCATGCAAATGTATTGGGCAGGTCCATTCTAGCAAAATGGACCAACCTAACTGGTGTATTAGGCACTCTCCTATAAAATGAGGTAAAATCAGCTGGCTTGCTTTAGAAGGAAACAGAAGAAGGCAGCCATGTTGGCAGGTAAGTCACTTGACTTCTACAACGACGACGACTGGCGTTGCATTAAAATTTTGAAGGTCGTAACTGACATGGAAGCAAGAAAGCTGAAAGAGAGTCCCACAGGCAAGAAGTGCGAGAGAAGAAAGTATTAAAATAGAACTTGCGGTTACATTGAGTATTTCCAATAGTAAAACAATCAGACCGAGCTGCCAAAGGGAAAAAAAAAAAAGACTTGCGTTTCAAGAAACACACCTAAACAATTTCGTCACACGTCGTACAATATGATAAACAAATACTGTAATCTGCTGTGGCTTAAAATACCAGTACAAGTTAGGAGAGTAGAAGTTAAACGGAATTCTCATCAAGTTTTCACTTCTTGCAGAATATTTTTTTTTGTTTCGTTATATTGTGTTGTTCTACGACACGTGATCAGTAACCAATTTCTGGCCTTTCTCTTAGTTTACTGTATACTTTATAATCTCTTCCACTTAACATATGCAAATATTGACCAATCATGTCCTGGGTATGACGATAAACTACGACCAACAGCAAGGCCCCTGATCAAGAGATTTTGAAGAGCGTGGAACCACCTCTTAATTGCCGGTGTTCCCAGGTCCACCCTGACCCGCGGTGGTAGCACCTGTTAGGGTCCCAGCTATGGGCAAATAGTTAACCCCCAAACTGGGGTAAAAAGCATTATAAAAGTATAAAAATAGGTTTTAATACCAGAAATACATTGTAAAAAATTATTACCAGAAATAAATTTTTGAAGAAAAAAAACTATTACCAGCAATATATTTTTGAAAAGAAATATTGCGAGCAATTTTGAAATTACATGTTTTAAAATAATATTACCAGCTATACATTTTCCTAAAAGAAGTTTAATTGTACTGAAAAATATGAGTAATTGAAAAATGGCTTAAATATATACGTATACATACACACCTTTTTTTTACCAAACTATCACTAACAATCTATTTCAAAATTTTGTTGGCATTAAATGACCCACTGAGGTTTTGATATGCCATAAAACAAAATAACCAACCAATTTATTGACGAATCGACTACATATTTATTTGCTGATAAAATTTTTTTTTTTTTTCAGTTCCAGTTGAAAATGTCACAATTAAGTATTTGAATCAAACTGATTTCGTGGAAGGTCGACGAGAAAAATTTGATTGCGTCGCTGTCGGGTCAAAACCTGCTGCAAGCATTTGGTGGTTCCTCACATATCAGAATGGATCGGAAATAAGAATTCTGGATCCTGTTAGGAATGAAACAACGCAAAACAAGAAAGTGTTTCAAACTGTGTCAACTCTTGAATTGGTTTTAAACAGAGAATACCGGAATATTATGTGTCAAGCGAGAATAGAAAACACGAGATGGAAGAAATCGCCTTCTGTCCCACTAGAGATAAAATGTAAGTATTGGCACTTTGTGGTGTACCCATTGTGACTGCTGGTCTTTAATTCGTTTACACACAAACACACACGCACACGTACGCACATACACAAGCAAAGATTTATAAAATCATGAAATACGGTTCACCAAAATAATCCTTTCGGTTTATTAACTAAATAATATCTAGATTGTTGCTGTAATCTTGGGTGTGTAGGTGGCGTAATAGATTATAGCTCGGAATTTTTAATCGGAATTCAAATTCCATAAGGGTTCGTTATATTCACTTACGGGCAAATACCCTCGGGAAAGGTGTCATCCACCTCTTCTCCCTCCCCTACAAGTTAATTAGTAAAACTAGTATCACTAAGCTATCTCCACCATCATCACCACCAAAAAAATTCTTACAATCTAAAAAGGAAAATTTCAGGCTTTAAATAACCCCAAAGGGTTGATAATCCGTATAAAATGAATGAATGAATCAATCCTTTCAGACAATTTTGCCCTCTCGAAAACAGCAGCACGAGTTGCCTTCTGATAACGACCTTGACATTAATTAGCCAAATAAACATTTAGAATAAATAAATTAATTTCAATATACATTTTCTCCGATCGACAAAAAGGAGACATTTTCTAATAATTTTGTCATTTTTAATAACTAATGAATATTTAACGACGTGTTAAATACTCATTAGTTATTAAAAATTTTGTTTCGCTTCACATGTCTCGGGTCAAAAATGACCTACGGTAATGAATTGCCATCCGATATATATAATGCGAGCGTTTTCGCATGAAAAGTCTACTTACCTTGTCGCCTCCGGATGGTGTTTTTTTACGTTGCTAGCCGTGGCAAAGATGATGGTGTGGACGTCGCGAAATGAGGGAATCTTGCGGGATGAAGGCTATTCGCATCAGGATCTGATTGTTTTGTTTAAGCATCAACTTAGGGCAAGGATCAGATCTGATAGAAAGCGCTTGGTTTCGACAGATTTCAGCGAAAGGTGGGTGATTGTGGCGAGCCTGGTTCGTGTGTAAGAGGCTAGTCTTAATTTTCTCTTTTAAGTCCCCTTAATGCAACGGGTCGGTTTCATGCAAACCCTTCCTTGGTTAAGTTAGATACTGTTATGTTTTCCTAGTTAATGCGAATAAGTTTTGTTCGCGGCCTGTTCCCGGCTTTCTTTTTTGTTATGACCCATAGTTTGTTTTTGTCCACCATTTTTCATCCCGACTGGATCAGCCTTTGATTTTCACTTTTCCATCAATTATTTTTACCTTTCCCATTTCATTAGTGAGTGTCCTTCTTGATTTTGTCTATCGACAGAATACAGCGGACACTCCTATTATTATTATGAGGGATGGGAGGGTTCTACAAACATTGTTTTGTTTTAGTTTTATCCGTCTGTTTCATTTTTAAGTTTGTTTTCTGGTTTCATCCTCCCACTCCATCATTTAATGAACCATGAAATTTTTATATGAACGGACTTTATAGAAAGACTAGCAGTAGAGCCCGGCGTTGCCCGGGGATGTAACAGTAAGAGATAAATCAAGTATCGACCATCATAAAGACTGAAAAATAAAATTGACAAAGATTGTTTAAGGTTGATGGACACGCATGTCTTAATTAGTTTTTTTTTTTTTTTTTTTTTTTTACGAATTGGTCAAACCCAAACTCAAACAAAAACATTGTTTTCAATTGTTATGAGTCTACCAATTGAATAGAATTTTATTATAAACAATTGTCTTGTAAATGGAATTTTTAAAGCATTCTGAATGTAAAAATAAAGAAAAAAAGTGTGCAAAACAATAAGAAACACTAGCTGCCAAAAAAAAGTGAAGTTTTGTTGAAATCGGTTGAAAAATGTAGGAAATCCGATCCCATATATAAATGAACACACACAAACAACCTGGGTTTTTATAATAAGTATAACTCGATATGAGTTGTCCCACTTTCATTCCGGCGACTTAATCGTGTTTTCAAATTGATTTCGTACAAAAACAATTGTTTTTCCAATTTGGGGCGCTGTCAGAACCACCGCAAGGTAATTTTACGTAGTCCTGTGAAGTTTTGTTGAAATGAGTTGAAAAATGTAGGAAATCCGATCCAATATATAAACGTACACACACACACACACACACACACACACACACACACACACACACAATCTGCGTTTTATAATAAGTGAGATTATATGATTTTACGCAAGGTAAAATTTTTTTTTCTTCTAACAGATCCACCGGAGATTACAGTGATCTTTGGCGCTACAGCGTTGCATCAGAGAGCGTACCTTAGATGCGAGGTACAAGCAAATCCTACAAAATTCGTCTTTAAAATTGTTCAGAAATGGGGAAATACGATCAAAAGAGAAATCGATAAGGATTCGGTTGAGTTCCCAAGCTTTTCCCTCGAAGATTTTGGTACATGGGTGTGTCGAGTCAGCAATGGGGTACCAAGGAAAGATTACTATGCCGAACAATCGGTCGAACTACATATGCCAGGTGAGTAAATGCATACAATTATATATATATATATATATATAGAGAGAGAGAGAGAGAGGGAGAGAGTGAGAGAGAGATTCTATAATGGAGAATACACACATATATATGCAATCATATATCTAAACTATATAAATATTTATACATACATACACATATACATACATACATATATATGTATGTATAAAAATAATTTCAGGGGGATAGAATCCAGGTAGAACTCAATGTCCAGGACAGAGTAAGGATATAATAAAAAAGCTTAAACACTATTAGTGTTTAAGCCTTTTATTATATATATATATATATATATATATATATATATATATATTGAGTTCTACCTGGATTCTATCCTCTTGAATTATTTTTATATATGTATGTATGTATATGTATATTTATATAGTTTAGATAGATGATTGCATATATATGTGTATATTAACCACTGATATTATATATATATATATATATATATATACCAAGTATATGATAGGTGTATACGGGAATGAATTTCAATAACCAACAATTACTATTCGTAAAAGAGTGCTCAATACAAAAGTAGAGCAGGTATAATTATTTATTTAAAAAAATTATAACATAAATATAATATATTTATAACATAAATATTTATGTTATAAATTTTATATATATATATATATATATATATATATATATATATATATATATAAAATGTAAAAGAACAAAGAATAAAATTCCTAAATTTCAAAGCATTAATTTAAAACAGGGCTCAATACAAGAGTAGAGCAATAAATAATCATTATACACTGTTACATTAGAACATGTAAGTAACTACTACAAAATTGTACATTTTGTTTCGACTTTTAATAAAGAACGTCTCATCAGGTAGTTAACAATGACTGTTAACTACCAAATGAGACGTTGTTTATCGTTGGCGATCGTCAGACAAAAAAGGGCGTGAAACCCAGGGTCACAAGCTCACATCAATCCAACTAAATATGTTTGCTCTATCACTGATATTGAGCGCTTTTCAATAAGTACCGCGCATATATAATATATAAATAATATTAAAATTGCATATCCTTCGGTTTTAGCTGCCCCCCTATCTTCCCCACCCCCTTTCTTTTCTTTTTTTACTCTCCTCTCATCTTCTGGTCTTTAAGTGTAGATTATATTGCCTATTGTGTGTGTGTTGTCACCACAAAATGTCTACTCTTTTCCGGTGTCAATCTTTAATTTATTTTAGGTCAGCGATTCAGAAATGTATTAGACATCCGGGAATTTTCATATTTATTTGTATCTCGCTCACTTAAACCGTCATTGACTCCCCTCTTTAAAACGTCTCTCTGTTAAATTCTAATCCCCACCTTCCTTCATCTTTAGACCTTCCTGTTCTTCTCTCGTCTGTTACCCCTCCCTATAGCTTTCATTTACTCTCGCGTTCGTCCCACACTCTCATACATACACTCTCACTAAATTTTATTTTTTATTCCCAGTGTTATTTTTTCTGATTTCTTTTTGAATTTGTAGGTCTGATGAATTTGATCGTATTTACGATTCCAATGTAATAAATTATGACCATTGAGTACTAGTGTTCAAGCCTTTTTATTATATATATATATATATATATATATATATATATATGTGTGTGTGTGTGTGTGTGTGTGTGTGTGTGTGTGTGTGTGTGTGTGTGTGTGTGTGTGTGTGTGTGTACCTGTCACTAGTTTTTCACACAGAGAAGAGTGTGAGCGGGATAAAATCGGTTGGTGGTGACTTTTTTATTTTCCTTGATGGGATAATGTGGTTTCCATTCGTTCTCCAAACCGCCGTGGACTTTTACGTATGGCTTACTCGCGGTCTACTCAGCAACTGAAGTTCGTCACCCCAACAGCAGGCGTCATTCATCGGCCGTCACGTGACCCTCGTAAAGTCGTCCTAACCCAAAGGGACATAATAACCATCTACCTCTCTATTTTACCTATATAATTTGAAATTAATTTTTCTTTTCTTAACACTTATTTGGTTATAATTTCAACACATCTTTTCTTTTCTTTTTTTTTTTTTTTTTGTAGTGCGTCCATTAATCAAAGGAAAGACGACAGAAATAGCAATGTTCGGAGAACGAAAATCTTTGAAATTGTGTTTTCATTGTTACCCGGAAGCGACAGACGTGAAATGGTTTAAAAATGGCGAACTTATTTCTTCCCCGAAATATTCGGAAGAGCCAGCTGACGATGGAATCTTCCCTTTCTCTGGCAACTGTTCGGTTTTAGAAGTCAACACCAGAGAAAAAAAAACGGTTCATAATTTTTCTCTCGTTGTAACGAATTCCGTTGGGCAGAGTTCCTTCAGTGTTTTGCTGTTGATAGGTCAGTATTAA